CACCATTGTTTTAGTTTTTGAGTTATCATGTAATGAAAAGAAGAACAAGAAAGAAGAAATTCAAACTTTTTGTTATGATATTTACAGACATTTCCAAAACTTAGGACTCAGTTAATACACAGATATTGTTATAAAAGGAAAAACTGTCTATTATTGTAAAGTTCTAATGACCCATTGAGGAGATATTAAAAATACTATTTTGATGAACAATCTGAGTCATCCCTACACAGACAGTGCTATCACCTTTCTCATATTTTTCCTTTTAACTTTATACAATAAATTATTGTGCAGTTTTAAATGTTGGAGTTCTTATTTATTTTGTGAAATCTATGTACAAGAATGGTCACAGAATATATTGGAGCATTTGGTCCTTGAAGGTTATCCTTTCACACCCACCATACAAAAATTTAAATACACCATTTTTTTTCTAGGAAATCATCAATTTCCCTCTTGAATTCCTGTAAAGTGCTGGCTTCCACTACTGCCAACAACAATGCATTCCACAACTCAATCACCATGTAAGGAAAGTTTGTTTGTTTGTTTTTAATTATGCACAAAGCTACACAAGGGCTATCTGTGCTCTGCCCACCACGGGTATCAAAACCCGGTTTCTAGCATTGTTAGTCCACAGACATACCGCTGTGCCTCTGGGGGGCAGTAACGAAAGTAAAAACTTTTAAACTGATGTCTAGCCGGTATTTCCCAAAATTGAAACTTGTGCTTGGTATCATCCTACTATCTTCAAGTATAGCACAAAGAAATTAAAGGCCTTCATCCTTTGATCCCCGTTAATTTGCACTGTTGTAATTTCTGATAACAGCCTAAAATTGTTTTTGAGAAAACAGTTTATTAACCTTTAAATGAACAAAAGTTTTTATGTGTACTTAATAATGTCTACATGGTTTTGAATATTAATTTTGACATAAATCTCCACTTTATATTAACAGAAAAACATTCAAAAGTACAGATAAAACCTACAAACCTTCATAACTTAGGTAATTTAGAAATATCTCTATTTCATTGTAAAATTCAAATACTTGCATCTAGTAATTCAACAAAATATAAACTGACAAAGCCTATGAAATAACTAGAGGAATTTCAAACTTCACAGTTAAGACTTATGAAAATGATACCATGATTAAATTTTCATCCTCCATATTATTCTCTTCTTCTTGAGCAAATAATCGATCAAAGTCAACTTTCAACCAAGGAGGCTTTTTTTCATCTACTGTAAGTTGAGACCAGAGATCCACTGTTACCTTCTGAACTAAGATTTCAACTTCTCTGTCATTTACACGATACTGGCCTGTCTGTATCAAGATTCCAACATTCATACATGATAGTAAGTTTCATATGTATGCAGTTTTTACAATCATTGTTTGCTTTCATATTTTTTTTACAGAATAAAAATCAAATAGAAAAACTATTTCTCACAAGAATGACATCACATTTTGAGCCTACACAGTCTTTTATTCTCTCATAGATACTGCTTTGTATTTTTCATTTAAATTCTAATAATGAAATTGCCCATAAGGAACATTTATTTAATGACCACAAAAGTAAACAAATGAAAAAATAGTGTGTACACACATTAAGACATGGTTTATGTATAATAAATGAAATTACAAAAAAACTCAGCAATCATTTATACAATGTATAATTATGTAAATCAAGAAAATTAAATTATATATTACTTTTAAAGAAGGCTTATCCAGAATAATCATATCTGGAAAAGTTTCCTACGCCTGCTAGGTACTGCAGTTATACATTTCTGTTTACAATTCAGTCTTCCAGATGAGGTTTATGTTTGTTGGTGGAGAGACCAGCCTTTCATTTTAAATTGGCTATTGGCATATTAACAATGGAGAGATCTAAGATTAGAGTTTTTGAGCTATTTAATTTTACCCTTAATGTATGTCACTGGATTTGACCTTACAGCCTGTTATGTTGCGTATCTCTTACTTTCGATCCTAGTTATGTTCAGGTTTATATATTTCAAATAACTTCTTTGATTTTTCTAATGTTACTGTCTAATATTGTGGAATTTACATGTACAGGAGTTATTAGAAGATATCTTAAAATTTGTGCTTTCAATAAATTCTCTTTATCCTGTTGTTTAAAGAAATAGCAAAAGGCTAAGAAAAGTATCTATCCCATTGCTTAATTATCCAATCACTTCAGCAGTCTTGGGAACATTAAGTATGAAATGATATTCTGTTACACCATGGGGACTTGCTGGTAGAATCTATGTAACTGGACAGATACCTGAAAGTTAATTTTTATCATAGATGAATAGCATGATATATAATTACAATACTTCCCTGTAAGAGTTGCTTTTCTGTAGACTTTGGTAATGAGTTTAGACATGAAACTCAAATGTAAATTCAGAAATCTACTTTCATGAGATAAAATTCTTATATAAAAAACACAGAAAATTAACAGATGAAGAAACAAATCTGTGTCAAACTTTCTACACTGACACACAGTCACCCAATTTCACTAAACAAGCTCTCATAGTTCACAACTGAAGCAACAAGTACTTCACAAAATCCAGAGATCAAGATTCGTCATCACTACTTTTCAAAGTTAAGTGATATGATAGGATTTTTAGAAAATACATATTTGATGTCACTTCTGAATAGTCAAACCATCAGGAGCTCCTTCTTTGAAAATAAAATAAAATCAGCCAATAATAATAATAAAAAACATTTACTACTGAATATGTACATAGCATGTGACTACTCTCCACCAATAGTATTGTGCCACCTATATTGTCACAGCTAGCTCCCTCTGCTATTCCTGCTCAATCCTCACTTTACAGAATTGACAGGCTCTAAAAAAAGAACACAGGCAGTGGAGAGGAAGTGGGAAGTGTGTGAGAGAGGTAAGTACCTATCAGAAATACATTTTCAGTTTAAGAAAATGTTAACTTCCACTCTAATTTTACTCCTTGTCACATAAAGCTATAATCGCACATTGCAAAAGTGGAGGGGCTGATGTAGGTGCTCAACATTGAGACCAGGTAGAAAGCGACTGCCCAGAATGAATGGGTGTGCTCCGAGATGAAACTGAAGCACACATATGGGGTACTGCACTACATCTGGAACAGGTATGCTCTTTGCCCTTACAGCAGAAAATGAATCAGATACAGGTGGGAAAAAAAGAATGTGCACAAGTGCAATTTGTTCAGAGAGGTGCAATCCATAATAAAATATAAACTGAATGAACTATGTTGATACCCAGCCTCAACCAGACAGACGAGGTTCCATAACTCATCTTTTGCATTATGAGGTTGAAGATCAAAACAGATAAAAACAAATATAGTGTAACATAAACATAGTGGCTCGGGTATGTGCACCATGTTACATATACTCATCAATCCCAACTGTGAGTGTCATACACCAAGCAACCAGAATTATGAAGAGAACATTAGCAGTCGGCCAAAACCACCATAGGAGCAAGAAGCACAACAAAATGAACCAGGCATTATGGGGTCGTGGCATTGTCTCAACTCAACTGTAAGTATAAGCCAGTATCTGTAACCAGTATTATAAGCAGAAATCATAACTCACCCAACTGTAAATGCAGGAAAGAAACATCCTGCATCCCGAATTACGAGGCAGAGGAAGTCCCCCAAATTCAACAAAAGGAGCAGGAAAAGAACATCCTGCAACCATAATTAATGAGAAGATGTGCTTCTGTTGCACACAACCATAGGAACAGGGTGGTGTCATCTCGAACCCGGTATTACGAGGAGGATCCAGCATAGGTTGGTCCTGCCTCAACCAACAGTTGTACACCTGGGAAAAAAACATACAGGCAAAGTGGAATGAGGGAAACCAGCTTTGTCCTCTTCTCACTGAGTGTAAAATCATATGTACGTATGGTAAATTAAAATTCAACAATGCACTCAGGGGAAAGCCTCCATGGTCCATCATCCCAGCGACTGGGAACTGGTAATGACTCCCTTGTTCCACTGGAAGACAAAAGGGGGAAGTAAATGTAGTTGTGAGTCCAGAGGAATGTCAAACCAGAGAAAGTGCAATGGATGTTCATAAATCCCTATTTTGAAAAGCAGGCTGATCCACCATACCACTGAGTATACCACCAGTGGTCTTGTAGAACACCCCATCTCTACTGTGAGTGTTATAGTACAATAAGTAAACAGTACAGGTTTGATGCAATGCATATATGACCAGCCAATGCCCGCCACAGAGTGGGAACCCATTAATAGTGGTAAAAAAAAAGAGGGTCTCTAAAAAGAAAACATAAATGAAAGGAATTAATAAGAGTTACTTCAGTCAAAGACAATTGGATGTGTGTAGAATCACCATGGGAGGGAGACAATATCCACCTAAGGAAGATATAGCCAGATCATGCAGATAATGAGCAACAAAAGTATTGAAAGCAGTCCACATTTCAGCCCGAACAATCTTCTCCAATGGACGGTAAAGGCAACCAGCCAAAGACATGATGGTGAGATGACAAAGAAATTGATGAGAAGAAAGACTGTGACTAGAAGAAGCAGGCAGTAGCCAGTCATCCATGTAAAGATGAGTGCAAAGACCCATCGAGTGAAGATTTCAGGCAAGAACTTGTACCACCCAACAACACACTTAAAGAGCCCTGAAATGGAATACTCAGCTTCGAGTAATAAATAACTACTGACAATGTGGGCACTGTGGATGAACCCCGAATTGTAGATTACGAAGAGAAAATTTGGTTTCTAGTATCAAGAACATAGCAAAAGGAGCCAAAGCAAAGCTCAGCCCTATGAACAAGAAAGAAACAAACACATCAGCAATGCAGAAAATCAAAAGGAATTTAAGTCCTACACTGATGAAAAGTAGGATTATAAGGCACATAGTTAACACTGATAAAAAAAAAAAATTATCCAGTTAGAACAATAAATTAGATATTAATAGTAGTAATGATAAGTTATGTACAAACTATCTAAACATACCTAGTTAACAAAGTACTTATGAAAATCAAACTGATAAACCATCTATATTTATCTAGTTTACAAAAGATGTACTAATAACTGATGAAAATTACTAAGAAAATAAAGTAATAATCAATATTTAATTTATAATTATCATAAATTAACTTAGACAACAAAGGACACATAAGTAAGACCAACATTGATGATAATTAGGATTATAAGGCACATGTTTAACAATGACAGGTTAAAAAAAAAGTTAGATAGAACAATAAATTACATGTAACTAGTAGTAATGATATGTAACTTACAAACTATCTAAACATATGTACTTACAGTATTTATTAATATTGAACTGACAAATCCTCGAAATTTACTGAGTTTATAAGGAATGTAATATTATCGAAAATGCAAAACGACTAGAATTACCTAGAAAAACAAAGTAATAAACAATATCTAACTTACAATTCATCTAATTTAACTTAAAAGACAAAGGAGATATAAATACCTAACTTACCAAAGTCTGAGCACTGATGGCATGAGATACTTAAATCTCCCACGTGTAAAGAAGGACAAACCCACACAAAGGGCATCTGAGCCATGCTTATCATGGGTATATCCACCATGTGTGAAGTGTAAAAGTTGAACACTTAACACTGGGAGAACTGGAAGCAATGTGAAGAAAGGAGGAGAACAACAAACCTCCACAAAAGTGAATGACATGGTGGCACAGCAATTGGAGCAGGAAAAAGAAAACTAGCAAAATAACATATCTCAAACATACAGCAAAAAAATAATATGCTTCAACTGATGACCTGATTAGCTAGCTCTTCGATTGTATTCTTCCTCAGAAACTTTGTCAAGATGAAAAGAAGAAGAAATCACTGACCAAACGTATGACTAGCTCCCTGAAAATTAAGGCCTGTACCTCTTCTGCAGATAAAATGGAACCCGATTCCTGGGAAGTTGTACCTGTAGCATTTCCAACTGTAAGGAGAATTTCTATAGTTGATACACTAAATCGTGAATTCACACTAAGATCTCTTATAATTCGGCAACAAAAAACAAATAAAAAAATTTGATGAAACAATTGAATGTAAACACAGTAAAATAAAACTGTTGAAAGAAAAAGAGTTGAAACTGCAAAGAAGCACAATCAAAAATGGGAGCAACATGCGAGAAAACACGTTTAAACAATGCTGTGCTAATCGAGGAAGTGAGGATTGAGTGGGAATAGCAGAGAGACTAGTTGTGCCAAAATAGGTGGCATAATACTATTGGTGGAGAGTAGTCACATGCTATGTACATGGTCAGTAGTGGCACAAAATTGGTGGGGTATATAGCCTGGTGCACTGAGCATGAAAATTTTTTCACCAATGTTTAGAGGGCAGAAAGAAGATCGAGATAGCTTTATGTGAAAGGAAGTAAGATTGTAACAGGAAAAAAAAACACTAAACAAAACACAACATTTAACTGAAACATTAGAATAATCATGTGTAGATAGAATAATAAAGATTAAAGAAACTGAACTCAACCAGGACCAGAAATGAAAAATCAGCATCACTTACAATTGTATAAGGCTCCAGAAATAAATGCATTGAGCAACCATAGACCCTAACACTATACAAAAACACAGGTACATTGATAATCAATTTAATTCCAGAACCCTTAGTATTTCCCAACACAAAGAAAATCTCAACTTGAAGATCAAATTCTTGTCCATAAACTTAGTATAGTAGTAGTCTAGAGGAAGAAATAAGCCTCAATGGGCTATTAGCATTGTACTTTCTTAGAAATATAAATGTTTCATATTTTCTAGATTATCACTTAAATTTAAAATCAGTATATGATGTATCTTTAGTACTCAACACAAATCTGACATTCACTGTTTTTGACAGATCTATCAAACTGTAAAAGCTGGTCACTACTTTTACTACAACCAGGTTAATGGGCAAAAGGATGATAATTTGTCACTTAAAAGTAAGTATATAATAAATGTTGTTAAGTTACAGTATATTTAACAATATTGTAGATCTTGAATTAATGCTATCACAGCATATTTCATATGCATTTTTGGGTGACTTCCAGACAAAATAAGAGCTAGTGTGTTTTTAGCTAAACCAACATAATACTTCCATCCCTATTTCTAACTCATCTCGTGTGAAAGGAACTAAAACAAGTACTGTTGTATACAGTTCTATTCTATGTTGTTGTTTTTTACAACCTTTTAAGAATTACAAGTTTCTGAAAACAGTTATGTTTTTAATTACTTCCCTGTACTGATGTGCTCCTAACATAAATATACAAATGAACACATAAAAAAAAAGTTCAACTTTACCTCAGGTATTACGGGTCTACTGAATTCTAACTGAAATTGGTACTTATGTTCTCCTTTTGCACCAATACCACTTGCAGTAAAGATCAATCGCTTTTCTTTCAAATCTATTACAGGATTCTGTTAAGTAGTGACAAAGGAAACAAATAAGTAATTTTGATGATTGTTCTAGTTTGCAGTTAAATCAATAAACGTAACCAAGCAATCAAATGGCATTTTAACATCTTAATAATAATAATAAAGACAAAGTTGAATCAGTTACATAAATTTAATACTCAAATCTACAAATTGAACACCAATTTATACCAAAGTTTAAATACATTGGTTTTCATACCTTAATTGTATGTAGTAGCAAAATTAAATGTAAATTGTTAGGGTGTAACTATCCAACAACACAACTATGTTAAACATTTTGATAAAAGATTTAGCACAAAAGATCACACATAAAAATGCAATGAATTTCAAAACAGACCCAAAACTTGAACACTTTCAAATAGTTAGCTATTCTTCTTCAGGAGAATAAAGGGTAAATAATAAGTGAATGCAATGTAATATATAGGTATAGGATGTCAATGTCACATAAGCCAGACATTCCAGTTGAGTTGACCTTGGAGATTAGCCGACACAGCTGGAGACACTGGTGTCAGGTTTAGTTTGTACAAAAGAAATGTGTACATTACATGAAAAACGTAAGCATGATAATAGTTAAAAATAAGTTAAAACAATTTTCATAGGATAGAAAAATAAAATAAAAAAACATAAGGGAAGAAGAATTAGAGAAAAATGAAGCCATGTAAACTATAATCATTTATTCAGAAAAATAATACACTTATATGAGAAGATGCTTCCCACATGTTAAGTTCTTTAAAAATAAATTTTGTTTATACATAAACTTCAGAATGTTGTAAAAAGGATAGAACTTAGTGGTACGAATTAGTACAGATACTCACCTTATAATGCATGTCAAGGCTAATGATATTAATAATGGTAACTCTGAAGGGTTACAAGCAAGGTGCAAAGAGCATTAAGGGTAGAAATGTCATATAGACTAGAAAAAGACAAATTTAAGCAGGGGTGCAAGGACTACAGGAGATTATTAAGGATACGTCTGGATCAAGAAGTAAATTGGTTAAATTTATAGAACAAAAAATGGCTATGGGGAGATGTTTGCACATTCTAAGAAGTTGTAAAAGTGTACTGGAAACCATGTTTAGTGACTATCTAAATAAATGTAAACAGGCATAACAGAAAGTCTTGTTGACATTAGGTTCATGTTACATGTTTCAGAAGCCAAAAAATCAATACAGTAATTAGTTAAGTTATACTGATGAGTAAGTTGAAAATAAAGATTATTTTATGCAAACACAAGAGGTCTTCAGAATAACTTCCTATATTCAGAGGCTTTTGTAGCATTATTGGTACTGTTAAATATTAGTTAGAACAGGTTAAGTGAGGATAAGAACAAAAGAAAAAAAGCAAAGTGATAGAAGACATGAACAGTCTTAATGAAAGGCAAAAATCTTGGAAAATATGCTTTAAAGTTAAAAAGTTTATGAGTTCATAGTAGTAAAAATGTAAGAGCTGAAAAAGGAAAGTTCAATTAGTATTTAGGAGAACAACGATTTTGAAATTTCAGGTCCTCTCTTCTTATTATCTTCAAAATATAGTGCAAAAGCTTAAGATGAGGAAAAAATAAGCTAGGCTTCAATTAAAACACTTATTTTTCAAATAGGGTGACTAACTTGTCATATGCAATGCTGTCAGCACCTATGTATGGAAGCACATTTTTCTAGTATTATAGTAAATTGACAAATAATGATTTATAAGCATAATGAAGTGATTTTATTTTAGGGAACATGCTACATTTCAACAGAACATCAGTCTGTATTCTTCAGGTAGAAGACAGACCAATGTTCTATCAAAAAACTCAGTATGTTCCTCAAAATAAAAACACTTTATTATGCTTATAAATCATTGTTTGTCAATTCACTATTGCTGTCAGCAGTTATGAAAACCAGTACTTTGCAGGAGTTTAAGACAGCAACTGACAATTTCCTTAAAAGTAAATGGTGGATTTAAATATTTACTTTTCCTCTACTGGGTGTGTAAGGACAGCAATGAAGGACCAAATGATTTTTTGTTGGCTGAAGATTATGTGGGACTCTCTCATTATGTATATTGATAAATTTATTGTATTGGCAAACAGCAAAATCTAACCTATAAATTTCTTTCTACATACATTATAGGGCACATTGTCAGTTCAGTTACTGGTGCTAAAGGTATTCTCTCATAGTAGTGGATATAAGAACAAATAATGTTGCAAACTGTATATCAGAAATTCTGTTTACAAAGTTTAAATAAACACCTCTGGAAGTCTAGAAGTAGAAATATACATGTCTTCTTAAGGGCTAATCTCTTGGTCTAGGTATGCAACATAAGTATTTAGCAGGATCCAATGTTTAAATTAAAGATTATCAGGAATATGCTTAGAGCAGAAAGTGGGTCTTGGTTGGAACTGAGAGACATTTTTAAAGGTAAGTGTGGATTGTATACTATAGAGAGGCTCCATGTTTAAGTACTCTAGATGGTAGAATGTTTGAAGGAGCTCTAAAGAGTTTTGTTAACTCTAGTTTGAACTAAACTTGCATATCAGTGAAAGAATTTGAGAAACTGGTAATAATTAAATCAATAGGATAATTTTGGTAAAGAAAAGATCGGAAAAAGAAAATTTAGTGCATAAGTTAAATTGTAGTTTTTTAGATAAATCACTAATTTGAAATAAACATTCAATAATAAGCTTAGTTACTATTATTCTATTGTTAAGAGTATTAGAAATGAAATGGATGGATTCAGGGTTGAAGCTCAAATAGAAAGATATGATATATAATGAGAATTACTTAAATTTCATTTTACTTGAATAACACTGATAATAGGAATTATTATGAAATTTCAAGTAATGTTACTTAATAGTAATGTTTTTGTTTTAAAAAGGATGGGTCGACTCTATATAAGGGATGAGCAACAGCCTGTTAGAACTTAGCATAAACAACAGACAAAAGGTTGAATCTGCATTGTATATAGGTTATAATCAGGGGTTTCAAAGGTAGAAAGTTTTAAACTGTCATTTGCTATAGGCCACCTGATCAGACAGATGATATGAAAAAGAAATACACCGAGATCTGGTATGTTACTAATACTGATACAATAATTATAGAATACAATAATTTTAGACATTTTGATTAGAATTTGGAATTGTATGGAGTCATGTAGTGAGGAAAGATAACTTTCTTTCAGGAAGATTTTCTACATCAAATGGTCAGATAACCAGCCAAAGAGGATGCTATTTTAGATTTCTTATTAACCACTAATGAAGATGTAGCTACAAGAGTTAAAGTATGCAAAGAGGGATCACCAAATAATTAAATACGAGGTTTATATATATGTTGACCTAAAAAAAAAAGCTAACTTAAGAGCTGAGAGACAGATTTAGGAAATTGTTAAAAGTAAACTTCTGTTGATTAAAGATGCACAATTGGCTTACTGGAACATAAAATTAAAAATCATGTATAAATACCAAAGTTTAATATATTTAACTTGACGAATAGGATGGAACATTTACAGAACTACATGAAGGTTAAGCATTTAGTTAAAAAATAAATTAGTAAATTAAAACATTCTTATTTCAAATAAGAGATCAATGATATGCAAGACTCTTTCATTTTTGGTAGGTCAACAGACAGTACACTTGGATACACGTCTGAGGATTGCAGTGTTACTAATATTACTCCAATTTTAAAAGGGTGTCAAACATTACTCTGAAACTTAGAAGCCAGTTAGCCTTACTCTGAAACTTAGAAGCCAGTTAGCCTTACTTCTGAATTGAGAAAAATCATTTAGTAAAATATCATATTAAAAAAAGGGAGATAGGGAATTGCTAAGGGGAAATCTTGCATATTAATCTGTTTAACTTTCCTATTTTTTGAGGATATTACTTATTAACTAGATATAGAAAGGACGTGGACTTGGTGTACTTAGACTTTCGAAAAGCTTTTGATAGCATGTCATACACAAAAGATTATCTAAGTAAATCAAATCTGCAAGTGTTGGGGAAAAAATAGTTAAGTGGATCATAGGATGGTTGGGTAAGAGAAAGCATGAAGTTGTTATTAATGAAATTCTGTCAAACTAGACCTTTCTTACTAGTGGTATGCCTCAGGGATAAGTGCTTAGGCCTTTGTTTTTCTTATTTAAACTAATGATAATGTAAGGGCATAATTAGTAAAGTTGCTGATAAGATTAAACTTTTGAATATTTCTAGCTATACTGACAATGTCCAGGTATTACATAATGACTTGGATCAATTAACAAGTTGAACAAATATGTGACAGTTAATGACCTTTCATTATAACAAGTTCAAATTAGAGAAATCGTAAACTATTGTAATTTGGATTACACAAAATAACATGTAATGGCATAGTGGAAGATAAGTCACTCAGATTATCAATGAAGTGCCCTTTTGCTAGTTGTGAAACTAAAAAAATTTTAGGATAGATTTATAGACATATTTATTATAAATCAAAAGAAGCAATTATCACTTTATACAAATCACTCATTAGACTTCATATGAAATAGTATGTTCAGTCTTCTTATATGAGAAGGGATATTGATTTACTGAAAAAGTTCAGAGCGCTACTAGAATGATTCTGGGATGGAAGGGTCATGTTATAGAGATAAGTTAAAACCTTAACTTATTTTTCTTTAGAAAAAAAGGTAAGAGGTATTCTTATTGAAATTTATAGCATTATAAGGAGAATTGATAGGATATAGGCCTCTGATTTAGTTGTCCCATATTCTGAAGATAATAGGATAAAAAGATACAAGTCTGAGATGTGAAAAAGACATGCAGGCTAGGCGCCAGTTAAGTTATATTTTCTAACAACATGGTCAGCTTAAGGAATGAGTTTCTATAAGTAGTAGTAGTGGAGGCCAGCACCTTACAAGAGTTTGAAAGGGGGAATAAATTTTTTCTTGTAAAACAATGAGTAGATTAAAATGTTTACCTTTTTTCACAATTTGGTGTGCAGGGACAGTGACAAAAAACAAATGGTTCCTTGTTGTCCATAATGTTATCTTAAGAAACATGCAAAATCAAAGTGAGATTTATATGTTTGAAAAATTAGAAGGGGAATTATTTTTTCTTTGAGAGAAATATGACTATTATGTAAAGAGAAAAATTTGCAAAGGGCTAGTAACAAAACCAAAATATGAGCCACAGAATTTAGATATCATTGAAATAGCTAATAACATTATGGGGTCTATTTAAAAAAAAGAATTTCAGAATAATGCTGTAGTCTCCTTGCTTTTATAACTATTTCTAATGACATTTACTTTAGAAAACTGTATTCCATTTAATTCCCTTGCTATAGGAAGAATATATTTATACAAATACAAGTGTGTACATGTAGATATCAATTGAGACTTAAAAGACTTTGACTACTTTCTACTCAACCATAGATGAATGATAGATATTTGCTTCACATGATCAAAATTGTAAGGAGCTTCATGAGAGGTTTGTTTAAATGTTGGAATGATATTATGAATTATTATGGATACTTAAATATTTGGGGGTAATAGGTTTAAAAGTCCAAACTTACACTTATTTTATTGAAACTAAAAATATTTCTTTGTTAATTACAAGCTTGTGGAAGAGTGCACCAATGCTTAAGTCCAAATTGTAAAAACAATGGGTATATTTAGTGTTGTTGTTTTTAATGTTGAAATAATGCTAGTGTTATTAGATTAACACAGTAAGACTTTGCAACTCAAATTGCATTTTTAGAAAAAATGCTTGTAATATAAGTAAAAACTGGCTTCATATAGGGCATATTCAATTACACACAAAAATTGCAGAAATTTTTATATTACATAATAATATGAACAAAGAAAAATTATGAATTTCCTGTAATATTTAATGTATGAATGGCACATGTAAAACAACTGATAAGACATTATATATTATTTTTATGCTTAAGGCTAGTGGGAAATAACTAACTTATTACTACAATACATTTATCTTCTGTCCATCTGCTTGTTCTTTCATTATCTCTCTCCAACTGTTAAAATGGAATTCTGGTTTTTAACACCATCTCCACTGTTGTATATGGAAACAAGGTTTGTCATATTTGACGTTTAACACAAACATACCTTTACATTATGAAGATCAACACGCAATGAAATTCCCGATTCTGTTTGTGCCCAATAAACAATTGGACTTGGAAGATTCATTCTGTTTAAAACTATTTCAAAATATATTATGTTCTACTCACTTCTTTATATTTCACTTTCAGTAACCTAGCTGTCAGTAAATAACAGTTAACGCTAGTACTACTACTAGCAATAGTAACATATATACCCAATGTTGTCAGTGTCATCTAATCCTAATAATCAGTAAGTTTGAATTCATTATTTATCAAAATCATAATTAATAAATTATCAATAATCATCAGGTAACATGCCAAAATTTTCTTTTCACACAAAGAGCACCACAAGTTAATTGTGAAACTGATACTTCTGAACCAATGGAACTAAAAGTTGAACCCATGAATCGATTCTTCCACTTTCAAGGTTCACAACTGCGATTATCGGTTATTTTCAGACATAAAAGTACACACTATTTTATAACGATATAATTCTCTTTGCCCAATTTTGTTAATCTTTCAATATAATTGAATAAAGCAGGATTACGACCAGTCGATTAGTTAATTTTACTTAACATCACACCACTATATCTATTAGTATTACTGTTAAATATGCTATAGGAAAACAATTTATCGCTAAATAAAAAAAGTTCTATGTAAGGCTGGCTACCGAACTTGAAAAAAGGAACCAAACAAGATGGAAATGGAAGTGGACGTATCACTTGATCCGGCTAATGATTATATAGCAGACTAAGACGTCTCGATTTTACATGAATAATATAATTACTACATTACTGGCTTCTCCACTTTATCTATCGAAAGCTTGGTGTTTCAACAGAAACTCACCTTTCGTCATTACACCTTTTCTTGGGTTAAATTTAGAATACAACTTTTAAGTTTAATGACTATTTTAAAATAGAGTAATATTTTACGAATGGATATTCTGGTTCTACTTCTTTTGCGCGTGAGGAAGCCAGTAATATAGAGATTTTATTATCCATGTAAAGTCGAGACGGATTAGTCTGCTACGTGATCATTTACTGCATCAAGTGATATGTCTACTTCTATCCTTATCTTGTTTGGTTCCTTATTTCAAATTCAGTAGCCAGCCATACATTTCTTTATTATTATTTAGCGATATTTTATTTCCCCTAATACTTGTTTGTTTACTTTTTCATAAGATGGCGTACGTGGGTTACTAGGTAAAAGAGGAGATTCTAAAGCTTAATAAATTTTGCATAGAATAATAATAATAACACAGATAGTCAAAGATCGTGAAGACTGTTTTGCTCTATCAAATGATGATAAAATTGTAGTTACTGCTAAAACTAGATAGGCGCTATGGCTGTTGAAAAAAGAGGATTATGAACGAAAATAAGAAATCTTGGCTTTGGATGTTCGACGGTTTTCGACTTTGTTACGCTCTGAATAGCTGAAAAGCGGCATATAAACCGAAGATACAGAGACTATGCTAGGTAGCTAGCTCTTCATATCTAGCTTCTGAGGACCTGTAGAGAAGAAAATCCAAATGGCTTTTATATTGCTTACGAACGCCCATGCCATCCCTACACAAAGACAGTGCTGGCGCACTATCCGATAACTAGTATAATATACTTCCTCATAGACATAGATCTACATTTTGTGTCTCATCCCATCCAGCCAATAAATAGAATTGTTTCTATTCTTCATCTCCTTTCCCTTCTTTTTGCTTTTTATAATGTTTTGAATCATTTAGGGCTCTTATATTTATTTTATTGCTGTTTTCTCTATTTACTCTGGACAAAAGTACTACTGTGTTACATATCTGCTTGTTTGTTTGTTTCCTGTAGAAATTCTTTAGGAGGATCTTCAGCGATACAAGTCCTTTCTTGATTAAACCAGTTTATTCTTCCTCGATACAAACTTTTAGTACACAGTAGTTCCACAATCAGTACGTTCCTCGTCACTTTAAACTTAACAGCTTTTATAATACAAGCTATAAATCACAGTGATTCACAATCTCGATAATTTCGCTCTCGACAAGTGCAAAATACACACTTTACGGCTCACTAGCTCGAAACTAACAGAATCATAAATTACAGGGAACTCAAAGTAACTACTGCTCTCTCTGACATGTCTCTGCTGGCTTTACCTGACAGGCTTATATACTAACTAAGAGGGCATCTCGAACACACTCTGACTTCCCCGATCATTCGAGAAACTCATCTCGCACGCCACCAACGCTAACGCGCCAGCAGAGTCACGTGACTTCCGCTGTCGTAACAACTGTTTTAATCACTTCAATTTTAAGTTGATGGTTTTGGTCTCGATTTTTGGCTAATGTTCTGAAGGTTTTCTAACTTGCTTTGTTTCCAAAAATGGCAAGATTTCGTGTAATACGTTTTATTATACTCCTGTGTTATCAGGCATATCATATATGTTTCTACCTGCTTTAGTAATGTAGAAATTTTAAAAACTTTTTGTTTATTTAGCTTGTATGTAGATTTACTATATATATGTTGTCCACAAATCCATTGATATTTTCTTACACTAATTGCTTTATTCTCTGTAGTATATGATGTCTATTCTACCCGATAAAATATTGTAGTAGCATAGAGTGTCAAGGTTGAAAATATTAATCATGTAATACCCTTTGTTGGTCAACTTGTTGACGTTGTCTAAACGTAACAGCTGACCAATCCTGTGAGAAAATAAAGATCAGGGTGTAACGTTGTCGACTGACAAAGAAAGTGAATTTCTCTATTGAATTTAGGCACGTTTTCTAAGTTCAGTTCCATAAAAAAATCGTAGATAAAGACTTACATCAAAAATCACCCTGTTTAGTTGTAGAGAGTTCAATCCCAAGAGAAAGAAAGCTGTGGGACTAAACACGGCCTAGTAGAAGTGATTGTCTTTTTGTGTGCACAAGTATGTGTGCTTTGTTTTATCTTTGTTTGTCAAATAATAAAAAGTTTGTTCATTTTTAACAACTTTGTCTAGTCTCATTATCTTAGACACGTTATTTATTAGTGGATCCATCTATCTAATACTTGTTGGAAAATCAATAGTTTATACATGAACATACAGATTGATAAGAGGGGGAAATTTTGGTGCTGTGCCATCAGAATTTATTGCAGAGTTTCTGAAATAAAAACGTGTGTACTAGCCCTTGCTTGATTTTTAGAGTTTCGATGAATACTTCTCATGAGAAGAATGACAATTTATAGTCATAGAAGTACTCATGACTGAGAGATATTTGTACGTGAGAGGTGTTGAGTCTAGAAGAACTCCTCTCCTGGACATGGGACTTTCAGTGATGCTGTCAGAGTCTAGGACATCAGTCAACCTGCAGCTATTGACTCAAGGAAATTACTGCATCTGATATACCCAGACCACTGAAGCAGACGGTATTCGTGAGGATCAATCTTGAAAGAAAGAAAGCATTGATGGTTCAGGTTTACAAGGGTGGGTTAGCACTTGGCGAGTTGCAGTCCATGTGGGGCAGTTTATCTGAAACTTCTTGGCTGTTGCCAGTCACAGAAACAGCAGTGCCACTTCTTCTCAAGACCACTGGCAACTAGTGCTGTGCTACTAGTGGATGATTTATTATTTTCTCCAGACAGAGTTGTCCCCACAGCTGATGAGGCAGCAGGTACCCATGGGTAAAGACTGTGACCCATGAAGAGAGGTGCCTTTCAGGACAGAAAGGTTCCCCATGACATTGGTGACAGCTCTTAACACGTAGGATTGTGCAGCTCTGTATGATGAACCACCTAGAGTAGGTCGTTGTCCTGTATCCCAAAGGCCAACTGTTTGGAAGTTGGCGTATGTATGAGTGACTTCCACGCAGAACTAAAGATATTAGTGGCATCTTCTCCTGGAATCCAACAGGATTATGAGAGAAAGATTTTGGCCCAGCAAACAGCTCAATCTGAGCAAGGCCAATCAGATCACACCACCACATTCAAGGCACAGAAAAGAGGACCTAGACCAATTCCTAAAACATTTTAAGCAGGTCACTGCCTGGAGTGGATGGACTCAGCTTGTGTAACACCTGTTACAATTTAGCCCTTGATGCTGCTGAATATCTGTATGAAGAACAACAGGATGACAGGGAAACAGTTGTGTATGAATTGCATTGTCAATTCAGTCTAGTAGAGAATTGGTCATTTTACCAGACCAAATTCAAGATTGAGGAGAGGATAAGCACTGAGGGACTGGCTGCTTATGCTGATGATCTGCACTGAATGCACAGAAAGGCATAGCTGGTAATGGTTTCAGAAAATCAGGAGAGGATCTTAGTTGATAGGTTCATTGAGGGATTTCCCAATGAAATTATCTGAAAACACTGGAGCATGAGAGACACCATCACCCTCACAGAAGCAGTGTTCATTATGAAACAATTTGTAGTGGTTACTTCAAACCAGCCATTGGAAAGGAAGAAGCCTGCAGCAGTTGTAGTGGAAATTCCACTGGTGTATGGTGTGACCCAAATACCTTCAATAAGATGAGATGAACCCAATTAAAGGATTAACAACCAGCTTCTCCCACTGGATTGAAATAAGATGCAACTACAGTAGCCTCCAATGAGTGGGCAGGGCTTTGTAGATCCACCTTAAGGATACATGCTACAAAAAGTCTGTTCACAGGATATATTTTATAGCAAGGTCTACCCGTAGAGTATGTGCCATCAAAAGAGCATATACAACAGCAAGGTCAGGCTGTGGGATATATATCACTGACATTGGTAATGCTTCTGGGCATCATCTAGGATGAGAAGAGTAAAATGTCTGCTCTTTTTGTGTATTTGTGAGGCACTGTTTAAGGAACTGCTTGTACTTTTGAGCACAGCAAATATGGTAGAACTATTAGATTCACTTGCCATCTCAGCAGATGCCTGCTTACCCATAATGTCAGCACTTTGTGGAGGCAAAATCGTTGATACTGACTGTCATATCAGCATGCCTGAACACCAAAAACACATGGTGGACATTGTGGAAAATGCTCTACAAAACTAAAGGAGGGCAAGTCAGGCTTGGAAACTGGCTTGGGAGAGCACATAGGACAACTTGCAAAAAGAAAAGAGCTTAATGGTCAGCCCAGCTCTATCAGAGCTGGGTGGAGCTTTGCATGTGTCAATAACGTGATAAAGGTAAAGGACTGAGTTCCTGGAAGACACAAGAGTAATAAAACTCTCGTGGACCTCGAAATCTTTCAAAACAACCAAGCAATATCACCACTACAGTCAGTGAATATCAGCTTTGTTCTGATGAATGGTAAATTGGTGATACACTAGACATTAAAGATGAAGTAGATCTCTGGCTGAATT